ATTCTGTGGCTGGGGTTTTCTATAGTGGCTAGGGTTTTGGTGCCATTGAAGTTGATGCTATGACCTGTGGCTTTCATGTGTTGGACTAGTGAGAAACTGTGTTCCAGCTTTTTTACTGCATTTTTGTGTTCATCCAGGCGGGTACTTATTCTTCTATTGGTCTGTCCAATGTATGTGGCCGGGCATGATACACAGGGGACTTTGTATATGCCTTGATTTTCCAGGTCAATTTTATCTTTGGGGTTTCTTAAGGATGGCCGCTATTTTTCTGTCTGTTTTGAAGGCAGTCTTGATGTGATGCCTGTGTAGTATCTTACTGATTTTGTCTGTAGTACCTCTTATGTAGGGCAGGACAGCTGTTCCATAGGTCTGTTCATCTTCTAGGTCTCCATTATGTCTCAGCGTGTTTTTGTGGATCAAGCTGGTGATTTTGCTTTTGTGGAAGCCGTTGGCTGTGAGTACTTTAGTCAGGGTGCATAGTTCAGTCTTTATGTGTGTCTTGTCTGCCAGGCGTTTGGTTCTAGCAATTAGTGTTTTGGCCACGGAGTTTATCTGTGCTGGGTGGTGGTGGGATTGGGCATTGAGGTAGCGGTTGGTGTGTGTTTTCTTCTGGTATATGGTGTGTCCTAGTGTGCCATCTGTTTTTTTGTAGATTAGTACATCTAGGAATGGTAGTTGTTTGTTTCCGTTTCCATGGTGAACTTGATTTTGGGGTGTGTTAGGAAATTGTTTAGGATTTCTTTTCCATGGGGCCAAATCACAAATGTGTCATCGATGTATCTTAACCATAGTTTGGGTTTGTGGGTGGCATTAGCCTGGGCTCTGGATTAGAATTCTTCCATGAACAGGTTTGCAATGACAGGTGACAGTGGTGATCCCATAGGGGCTCCTTCAATTTGCTTGTATCTTTGTCCTTTGTATATGAAATATGTGTTGGTTGAGCAGTGTTCTGTTAGTTCCATGAGGTGTTTAGTTGGTTGGTATTTATTTTTGATGATTTCAAGAGTTTCTTTTATCGGACTTGGGTGAATAGTGAAACCACGTCGAAACTTACAAGCAGATCTTCTTGTTCCATGTGTAGATCTTTGATCATTCCCAAGAAGTGGTATGAGTTTTGTACATGTGAAGCTGCTGTTTCAGCATGGGGCTGTAGCTGTTTTGCTAAGTATTTAGCTAGGTTTTGTAGTGGTGCTCCTCTGGAGCTGACTATGGGTCTGAGAGGTATGCCTTCTTTGTGTATTTTTGGGAGGCCGTATAATTTGGAGCATCTGGATGATTTTTCTCTTGGTATGATCGTCTGTTGGATCTTTTTGCTTATGTGGCTGGTTATAATTTTCTTCTTGTGTTTATGGGTTTGTTTGTGGAGTCTTGGAGTAGGTCTGACATCTTCCAGATGCCCCAAACTATATGGCCTCCCAAAAATACACAAAGAAGGCGTACCTCTCAGACCCATAGTCAGCTCCAGAGGAGCACCACTACAAAACCTAGCTAAACATTTAGCAAATCAATCAGGACAAAGAAAAAACCATTCTGGCACAGCAGTAGGCTAGCCCCAAATTTAAAACTGAAACAACTGTAAAAGTCTGACTCACAGACGAACACAATACAGAAGCCTGACGATGGCAGATGAGATTCTCCCTCTTCCAGCACTTAAAACCACAGGACATGAAATTAATTTTGAAGAAACCAAATTAATATCCAACACTGAACACTCCAGCAAGAGAATAATCAGGGAAGCCATCAAGATAGAGAAACACCCACATAACGTGAATAGATGGGATGATACCTCCCGCCTACCAGACATCTGGAAGCTAGCCCTCATCAACAAACGAGTCCCAGCCACAAAAACCAACAGCAGACACAAAACAACATGGGACACCATCACCAATCCCTCTCACCAGAACCAGGCCCAAGTCCATCCTATAAACAAAGAACAACCACCATCCAGAAAACAGACCAGGCTGCTTCGCTAGCTGTTGCACCCCCTGACCCCAAAACCAAACAAGCAGACACATACCAAGAACACAGACCCACACCCCAAACTCGAAGCCAGACTAAACCCAGAATGCTATATCACAGCCACCCGCTCAGGACATCACATCAGAAAATTTAGGAAATTACATCACAAGAACTCAAGAAGTTGCAATACAGCAAATGACCGAGGATATCACAGCAAAAGACCAAGGATAGACACAGCAATAAATCTCACAAAGTCATCACACGCCCCATTACCCAAGCTGTTACTACACAGGAGGCTAATGGAAAAGAGATCAAAACACAAACGACCCAGGAGATTACAACGCAGGACCCAGGATACTACAACAAAAGAACTCACAAGCCCATCACACAACCCATTAACCAAGCCGTTAAAACACGAGAGGCAAGACTTCTGGTTTGAGCTTCTTCAGTGACAGACCGAAACCACAACTCTGCGTGGTTTCGATCCGTGCTCGCTGCTGGAGGGCCCCGAGCCGGCTGGTTTCAGGGCTAAGCCACCCTGCAGAGGTGGTGAAGAGGGGGGTGACTGCCTGCAGGGTTGAGGAGAGCCGCATCTCTCCTCCTCAGCTTCCCATTACTCCCTTTCCCAAAGGCAGTTGTAGCGGTGGTCAGAAATGGCCACCCCAAAGAAGAACTCGACCGGAAAAGAATGTGCAGGAGGAAGATAAGTAGAGAAAGTTTTGGTTGACTGGGTCAAACAGCAAAAGCAACAAATAAGGTACCCTGGAATTTAAACTATTAAAAAAAATAACACTGTTCCCAAAGAAGATCTATAAGCAGCGAAGGAGAGAGAAAAGGGAAAGGATTTGGTTTTTTTTCTCCTCTTCCTTTCCCTATACTGACAGCCAAGACACTTAAGCAAGAAATTGGAAAAAAAATCCACTTTGACATCAATAGGCATTTAAGCTGAAAATAAAATGTCAAAGGGATAATAAAGATTTCTGGATACTTAAAAGCTTTTGAAAGCAGGAAAGGAGAGAAAAAGAATAAAAGAGCAGGATCTGGAAGGGAGGAGACTGCCTGGAATTAAAAAGAACTTACAGTAACATCTCAACAAGACTTCTAAAAGATCCATTTTAACTGAAACATGGCAACAAAATAGTAAAACCCCAGGAAGAGTAGGTGAAAAAAGAAGTAAGAAGAAACAGCTCGGGAATATTTGGATTACTTAGTGACTTCTGGATTTTTGGTTACTGCATTTGAATGACTAAAATCAATCGGGTGGTTGTTTAAAAGTGTTGAAAATGGCACCACTTTTAGAAGAACTAAAAATGGAACTTAAAAAGTACAAAGAAGATGCACAAGAAGGGAGAGGTTTTTTGGCTTCGTATTTCAATTCTTAGAAATGGAGATTTGGAACTATGAGAAACAACAAGAAATGAATGAACAAGTAATGAATTTAATGAACAAGTAATTTTATGGGGGGGCGGAGAAAAGGGGGGAAAGAGAATGAAAAGTTTAAGATTTAGAAAAACAACCCCAAAAAAGAATAGTTTGAAAAATAAGTATAAAATTAGAAAGCAACAGAAGAGGGAAATGCAGAAGAGAGAATTGGAAGTAGAGAGACAAGGGGGTAAAAAGGGGAAGGAGAAGAAGAGAGGGAAGAAAGAAAGGAAAAGAAGTTATAAAGGACAGAAACAAGATATAGAGAAACAGGGCCTATTTAGAGATAATGGCTGAAAATCTAATTGAAAAAGGGATTCTGCAAAGGTACATAAGATAGTATTGTTATATTAGAAATAGAAATAATTTCAGAAAACATGAAACAATGTATGATTAAAACGATGGATAAAATAATTATCGTAATTTAGTGGAATGTTTGTTAATAAATAAATGTAATAAAATGAATATATAATGATTTATAAAACATAAATGAAAAGAAATAGGGGAAAAATTAATTATGGAAAGATTATACGTGTCCCCAAGGAGGTATTATATTTAATTGAAAAGAATTATTAAAGATGTTAAGACTTTAATGAATATTAATGATAGAACTGAATTAGAATGGAATGAGGGTTTTAATTACATATATTTATAATCCGTTTTTAAAGAATATAGTGTGTATTTTAAGAATGTACCAAGCAGAATTTGATTGGAAGTTATGTATTATGTATTATATTGAATGTTATAACCTTAAGGTATAGACTGAAGTTTAAATAAGAGTTGAATGGATAAAATTAAAAGATATAAAAGTATCATACTCCAATTAGTAACTACAGGAGAAAAATTATTTAATGAGAAAAGATAATATGAAATTGAAACAGGACAGACAAAAGTATAAATATAATGATTTGAATTGAGATGAGATAATCAAAATAAAGTTGGGAAAATTAAAAGAGGGGGAAAACTATATAGAAAATGCAAAATAGTAATAAGATATAGAATTGAACACAAAAATGAGTATGAAATTGAGTTTGTGTCTGTATAAAGAAGTGTAACGCGGGACCATGCTATTTTCAAAAAAGATATTTTACTTGTATTTGTGTGTGTGTGTGTGTGTGAAAACCCAAATAAATTTTTTAAAAAAAACCATGAGAGGCTAATGGAAAAAAGATCACTACAAAACAAATGACCCAGCAGATTACAGCACAAGATCCAGGATATCTCCACAACAAAACTCACAAGGCCATCACACAGCCCATTATACCAGCATCAACTCCATCAAGCAATCAAGAGGCAGCAGCGCAGCCAACCAGCCCAGCACACCAGCCCCCACTACCAGTATTTATAGAGAGACGGCAGCTCCGATCACACACTGCTTGCACTGGCATGAAGCCGAAAGCATCAGCCTGAGGATGGCGAGTGGGACCTTGCTGAAATGTCACCAAGATACTCTTAATCTTACACGGGAAAAGACCCAAACACACCTAGACCTACATATATATATGTGTGTTTGTGTGTGTTTTCTTATGAACATTATACAGAAGCCTGATGATGGCAGATGAGATTCTGCCAAAATGTTGCTACAACTTTAAAAGCACAACTATAATGACGTGGGAAAATACCCGAACAAAGCTGAATACCATATATATATATATGTATGTATGTATGTATGTATATATATATATATATATATATATATATATATACACATACACATACATACATACATGCATATGTGTGTGTGTATGTGTATGTGTGTATGTGTATGTATATATGTATATATATATGTATGTATATGTATATTTGTTTTCATAAGTTTTTGTGGGTATCTCTATGTATGGTATTCAGCTTTTGGGGGGTATTTTCCCACGTCATTATAGTTGTGCTTTTAAAGTTGTAGTGACGTTTCGGCAGAATCTCATCTGCCATCATCAGGCTTCTGTATTGTGTTCATCTGTGAAAGCCTGACTCACAGACAAACACAATGCAGAAGCCTGATGATGGCAGGTGAGATTTTGCTGAAACGTCGCTACAACTTTAAAAGCACAACTATAATGACGTGGGAAAATACCCAAACAAAGCTGAATACCATACATATAAATGCCCACGAAAACTTAAGAATATATATATTTCACGGGTATATAGATAACATGGAACAATTTGTAAATTTCGGTTTCATTTATAAAGTTGCATAAAATTGAGTGTGGAGTATAATTTAAGAACAAGTTTCCATATATTACTGCAAAGAAAAAATTTGAAGGCAGAGGCTATTTCTGGTAGCAAGCTCACCATCACTACAGCATATAAATTGGACTTTTGATAGACTTTTTAAAAGGAGGAGAGAATTCATAATGGATTACCCTATCAGTGGCTTTTATTAGCTATGATTGTTAATAATAGAACTTCAATGAATGTCTTTGGTGAACAGAAAGAAGAACAATAGGTTCCCAGCTATCTCTGCCATGAGTTACATAAAACATTCTTGGGACATTGCCCGAGCTATTATTGTGTGGGTATAAATCTGCCTTCTCCAAAAGCATATTCTACAATTTCATGAGCATATAATCCCTCTGATGTTGCCTGGGTGGGATCATGGGAATTATAGTCAACCACAACTAAAAGGCATCATGTTATGTAATGCAGGTCTAGCTTAATCTCTCATCAACCTATCTGGTTCTTGCTTTGCCTTACAGTGCTTCTCGGTGAAAAGGGAAATGATTATTGTGAGTGCCAAACCCCATGCAATTTGACCCGTTACAACAAGGAACTGTCCATGGTTAAGATCCCCAGCAAGACCTCGGCTAAATACCTTGAGAAGAAGTTTAACAAGTCAGAGAAATATATCTCGTACGTAATCCTGGTTTTAAAAGGGCTGGAAAAATCATTTTATGAAGTAAAGTAAGCCAAAGGGAAGTTGTGTAATAAAATTTTTTATCATGGTTATTGTCAAGTATCAGTTAGGATTTGCTCATTTGGGATTCATTTGGGTATCAGTTTCCAGCTTTGTTAGATTTCAGAATTTCAGAAGCATGAGGTATTATTTGCTATTTGTTGAGGTAATTCCCTGTTAGGAGAATGAGCGCATACAGGGAGACGTAGTGAGAGTGGTGAAGAATAACACACAAACAGCACACAGATACACTGTACAGTAAATGTAGGTTTTTACTGCCAATAAACATTTAAGCAAAGTCCAAACAAGCAGTCCAAGTCATTCATAGGTAAAGCAGTCAGTTTTCAATTCAGGGATAATCCAAATATCAAAGTCCAGTATCAAAAAACAGTTCAGTAACAGACTTATATCAACAATCAGTAACAGTCATTTAGGAGGAATGGCAAAACTCTCCAACAGAAGGAAACACACTTCTTTGAGACTAAACAACCCAGGTTTCTGGCTCCATCTTATGGCCATTTGCAGAACCACACCCAATTACAGTTTTAGCATTCTCTTAAAGATACAGTATTAAAATGTCTATCCTAGTTTATATATTTCCAACCCAAATAACTGTTAGGTGACTTACATTCCTAACACTACTAAGGCTACTAAATAAGCCACCAACCTGAACTTGAAATCAAATTCAATCATAAAAATTTAGGGTTTCTAGAGTATCAAACAAGATTCAGTGCTAGAAGCAAGTACCTAATCAAAAAAAAAGATAGAAGACACAATCTAAAGTCTCCAGTTAAAGGTCAGGAGATCCAGAAGTCGGTACACAGTCAAAACCATCAGTAAATTAGAATAGATGCAAATGTTCTGTCCTTGCACTGATTAGATCAGATATATTGGAAGTCAAGATTTTATAGGACATCGTATCTTGGGTTTAGTCCATACAATCAATTATTGTATCCTGATAGACTATTTTTTTCAATCAATATTCCTTGAAGCCAAAGAGCTTTGTACAAATAGTCAAATCAGCCTCCAAACCTATATTTTAGACCATTGGTAAAATTATTAGCATGGTTCACCTGACTATCAGTTTTGAGAATAGCAATAGCTTCAAAGAGTTACTGCCTCCAAAGCCCTGCCTCCATATCATTGTTTATTGTGGGAAACAGAAAGACGGCACAATTCACTAGGACTGTAATTTTAAGCATTTTGTGAATTATAGCACCAGCATATATAGAAAGTGCCAGTTTTGAGAAGGGAGATCAAACCTAGTGAAGCATTCCTATCATTTACTGGGACTTTGTGGCATCCTTCTTCTTCTCAGTCTCCAAGGGAATCAGGGTTGTCTATAAACAGTTTTTATTCTTAATCACCTGCTCATTTGCAACAAATATTCAAGAAAAGCGGGTGGATAAGTGAAGAGTGAATGTTCTGGTTATCAAGAAACTATAAGGGAGGAATGGGATACATGGGACCCTCTGCACCATTTGCGAATTTCAGTTGAACCACACTGGGAACACTAGCATGTTCTCCACCAATTACTTACTCTCGAGGAGTGAATTGCTTCTTGTTGATGTCCTCGGGGCTACCTGTTTTCTTTCTTAGGGAGAATATACTTGTACTGGATATATTCTTCGAAGCTCTTAACTATGAGACCATTGAGCAGAGGAAAGCATATGAAGTGGCAGCGTTACTTGGTGAGTAAATATTCTGTGCATATACACAACATGGTTGAAGTTTGTAAACAATATGGAGGTCAGCCCCATGAACTAATCCCAGGGAACTCCTGTCAGTTGGCAAGGAACAACAGGAAACAGAAACAAAGCAACATGGGCAAAGGGAGAGAGAGAGAGAGACAAACCCAACAAGCCCTTAAGAAATGCTATAGGCAGCAAATGGCTCTCCTTATTACTTTGACCGCTGAATAAATCTGATCCAGGAGTCTTTACCATCACTGGCCTACACTCTGGACTATAGGTAGTTCTCAACGCACAATCACAATTGAGACCAGAAATTTCATTATTAAGCAAGGCAATTGTTAAGTGAGTCACGGCCAATTTTACGACCTTTTTTGCCACTTTTACCACATGACCCTGCACTCATCGTAAGTACTTAATTTTGATCACATGGGATGCTATGGTGGTTATGAGTGTGAGGACCCATTGTTAAGTCAGTTTTTTCAGTGTTGTGGTAACTTCGAACAGTCGCTAAATAAATGGTTACAAATCAAGGACTATACCTGCATTATTATGGGGCTTCTATGCTGAGCTCAGAAAAACCTTGATTCCACCAGCTCAGAATCATAGTATGAATTCATGAAGTTTATGCCAGTCTGTGCAGGCAAAATGGGAACGTTGGAAAATGAAGATCTATCTGCTTGCACAACTTTAAATATTCAAAGTAAATCTATCTATCAGAAGAGTATCGTCCATGTCCGCTATTCTTATTTTCTTTTTTGGGCCTTATCCAGTCTTGATGTGAAGCTTTCTTAATTAAGGCACAATAAGGCATGTTTGAGATGGCAAGGAGGCTACGGTTCTTAGAAAATAATGAAACCATAAAGGAAAATAATAAAACAAAAATGAAACTTCATTTTTTTGCCAAGCAGGCAAAGAAAGATGAGACTAGAATCCATAACAGGGAGATTTCTTGCATCAGATCTTGGACTAATACAGGATTGCACCGATCTCTTAAAGGAGACATATCTCTCTGTTGCTATATTTGAAATATTTGTTATTTGGATTTCCATTAATGTATCAAGTCTCTTTCAAAATCGTCTGGCCCTTATTTAGGTATCCTAACTATGGGATTGCACCTCAAATCATAGAACCAGCAACACTATTGAAGAAGATGAGAAAATATGGGTTGCCATGATAGAAGCTCTGGTTTATCATCCATCTACCTAATAAATACTTAGGAAGTCAAATCCCAAACCTTGCATGAGTGAAAAGAAGAGTTTGAGTTTTGGTTTGTGTGTCCAAAGCCTTTGTTGGCTGCATTTAATCATATCCCCTGTTGTCATGGAGATGTAAGCCTTTTATTTTCTAAACAATAACCAGAGATTTCTTCCTGTTTGTATAGAGATCAACTGTGATAATGACAGGAAAAAGAAGGGGGTATGTTTGTGTGCATACACTTCTGCAACAACTGTAGGGTTTTTTTTTCTTTTATTACTTCTTTTCTTTAATCCAAACTCTTTCATTTATTTTTTTTAATTGACACTAATACCTTATGGCAATCCTGGCATAAGTCTTTATGTCTTTATCCTGTGCACTGAGATCTTGCTTTGGGTAGGCTTTTGACCTGCTAAAATGAGGCATTATGTTCAAGCACCTGGCAGTTTGATTTAGTTTAACTCTTTGTTAAACTGGGGAAGAGGGAAGTACTATAGGAATAAGAGTAGGACCAGGAATGATCATATCTGGAATGTTGGCGAAAGTAAGTTGAAACTCTAATGAAGAGGAGAAGAGTGGCTTTAATTTTGTCCCAGGAGCCAATCAATGCAGAGTTTACTTACATAGCTGTAATTGGAAATCTAAAAACTGCATTGCTCTGGATCTTGGTTTTGAAAAAGAAATGGTCTATCCCAGTGGTTGCCAAACAGTGGCCCGTGGCCTGCTGGTGCTCTGCGAGAAAATTTGGGTGGTCCACAGAAATGTCGCCCCCAAAGCACTCCCCCCCAAAGCAATTAATCCAGGCTGCGCAGGAACACAAGGCTGCACCGCCCACATGGCCCATGGGAACACAAGGCTTGCATCGCTTGCATTGCGAACAACATGAGGTAGTGAGGGGAGGCCGAAAAGGACGGAGGGGGGAACCTGCTCTACTTGCCCCATGCACCTCGCCTGGCCACCAGGCTGCTTCTTTCTGCTTCTTCTTCTGCTTTTGGCTGCATGCAAGGAAAGCAGCAAGTCTTTCTATCTCTCCCCCAAACACCACCAGAAATGAGTCTTTGGGACCCTGCAAGGCATCCTGCTCTAAGAGGCTACACTGGCAAAGACTCATTTCTGGTGGAGTTTGGGGGAGAGAAAGAAAGACTTGCTGCTTTCCTTGCATGAAGCCAAAAGTGTCTCTCTCTCTCTCTCTCTCTCTCTCTCTCTCTCTCTCTCTCTCTCT